AGGGCTTGTCCTGCAGTATCAGCAAGAAAATGTTTTGATAAGACAGGATTTAGGCAGCTAACAACACCGATTCCTGCATTCCCTGGTCCACTGCAACTCCTGGTCCACTCTTGAGATGACAAACCTTGATGAAGTTGTTCAGGTGGCCAAGTTTGCGCATATTCGAGACTCCTTGCTGTTTGGCCACATTCTGGAGGATCTCTCGGATGTTCTCAGAGGGGTCTGGAAGAAAAAATGATGAGGTGTGAAGTCATCAGAGAAACAGGGATGGGAAAACAAAGATATAAATGTTCTCTCTGTAACAGCGTGACATAAGTAACTGCACCATTTCCATTACTGTTGTGCTCCAACCACAAAAAGCAGAGAAGCGCTTTATGGGACAAAATCAAGCAGAGATCATTTAAATCAGTAAGCACACAAAAGCAGAGTGTTTTTGCTAGACACAGTGAGACTTCCTGACATCACCTCACTTAACAAATTACTTAATAATTGTAGGAAAGAGGTATTTGCTCCTCTCATAAAGTAGTACAATAAAATTAACATTAGTGCTTAATATTGTGCAAAACCAGCTAGCATAAAATACAGACACTCAAAGATACTACAAACACAGCACACTCTTTATGACTTATTTCCCCCAGCAGTCACACAGGATACATGTTCAGTCATCTGTACCAAAACAAAACAAAATCCACAAATATTCCACAGACTTTCATATGGGACCAAAAACAGTGAAGCTCAGGTCTTGTCTAAATACAGGTAGTCTGCCATTCAAAGGTTTGGGGTCAATAAGACGTTTTTTTTCCTTCTCTTTTTTTAAATTGTGACACTGAAAACTGTAGAAATTACTGCTGAAAATTAAAAATTCAGCTGTGCCATCTCAGGAATAAAATACTTTTAAAAAATATATTAATACAGAAAAGGTTATTTTAAATTGTAATAATAATTCACAATATCAGTGTTTTGTTGTATTTTGTATCACAGTGTTACTTTTTTTAACTGACCCTAAACTTTTTAATGGTGCGTCTTAGCAAGAATTCATGAGTGGAATACAAGTACTGGATTAATACTATCTGAGCTCAGGAAACCAAGGGCAACCTTTTCTGACTCAAGTTACAAGATCTAGCCAGTTTAACACTAACAACTTCATCCAGAAAAGGCCAGCCACACAGAGGTCATACGGGAAAAACAGCCTCAAGGTTAACCTATCAGCAATGACAGCACACAATCATGACCCTGCAACAGCTAATGAGCTACTTTCCCTCCACAGACACTAAATGACAAACAATACCAAAGCTATATTTAGCATATTTTGGTGTATTTAGCAATACAGTTAACAATGCATATAAACAAATCCATTACAATATGGAACAAAACAGATCAGCAAAGAATATGCACGTAAACCCCTTTTTATGATCACAAGTGTTAAGACCCCCCTGAATTCACACTTGTTTGTCAAGGATTTTGTGTTCAGCCCACAAGACAGGCAACTTTAACAGCAACCTTGTTACGAAATAAAAATTCTGGTCTTGTGCACAGAACAAAAATAAATCAAAATCAATATGTACACAATGAATTGTGACATTTTCAGTTAAGATTTTGAATTGTTTGTCGCGCTGTACGGTGATCGTGATCAACATAGTGTCAATCCCAGGGATGTTTGACAGACCAATAACTTAACAGGATGATGAATCTCATTGCTGAATGAAAAGCAATGAGTCTAATCATGCTTTCTATAACAGCAGATACATAAAAAAATTATTCGATAGCATTACTACAATAAATGGTAAATCTTGAAAACGAACTCAACTAAAGTCTCTTTAGTTAGCTAACAAGTTAATGCATTAACTAAACATTTAGCTATATCTTTGTTATAAGCAATACATTTGTTAGTGTTTATTCATCTTTGTTATTTAATAAAAATAGGCTATAACTGCATTATAAAATACAAAAATGCAACATTAGAGTTTTTTTTAAATAAAGTATTAGCAAAAGTTAAAATTAACATTAACTAAGAATAATAAATGCTTCAATAGTTTTTTTCTCATTGCTAGTCATGTTAACTAATGTTACCAAATGAAAAGTCTTATCCAATAAAAATAAAATAAAAAACAGAATTAATTTACAAGTATAACTGCATTAAATTGAACGTCAGCTGACATTATTTATTGAAAAAGATAAAAATAAAATGGTACTACAAAAAAAAGGGGGGAAAAAAGTTAATTTTGCATGATTTCTTGCTGCAGCAGACTGTTGTTTTGGTCCCTACAGTCCTGCCGTGCTGGACTGAAGAGATACATATTTCATGCAACCATTACATAATACTAAAAAGCATTCGACACCTTTAACATCATGTTTTTCTGTTTTTAAGTATTGTATACTTACATACAAGAGCATATTATGTGTACGGATCTATATGTTGCCTTAGTTTAAGGCTGTGTCACAAAACCAAGTGCAGCAAGTATTTTGGGGCATCATAGGTGGGTTTGGCACCCGCGAGGCTGACATTCCAAACAAGCCTACGATGCCCAGGAATGCTGTCTAGGTAGGGAGTTCACTAGGTTCATCTGACTTACCTCTTGTGAGATCGAGAGGTACATTTTCCTCCCCACTGTCATTCCGACCTGTAAAAACAGAGCGGGGGGGGGGGGGGAAGTTAATTTTGCATGATTATTGCTGCAGCAGACTGTTGTTTTGGTCCCTAACGTTACACCCTTTGGACCCTACAGTCCTGCAGTGCTGGACTGAAGAGATACATATTTCATGCAACCATTACATAATACTAAAAAGCATTCGACACCTTTAACATCATGTTTTTCTGTTTTTAAGTATTGTATACTTACATACAAGAGCATATTATGTGTACGGATCTATATGTTGCCTTAGTTTAAGGCTGTGTCACAAAACCAAGTGCAGCAAGTATTTTGGGGCATCATAGGTGGGTTTGGCACCCGCGAGGCTGACATTCCAAACAAGCCTACGATGCCCAGGAATGCTGTCTAGGTAGGGAGTTCACTAGGTTCATCTGACTTACCTCTTGTGAGATCGAGAGGTACATTTTCCTCCCCACTGTCATTCCGACCTGTATATGCAAGATAAAATAAGACATTGAGAAAGGCACGCTTGGGGCAGGTGTAGCTGATGAAGACTGCATCGTATTATCCTGACGGATCTGTTAACCAGCCGAGCAGAGTAAGCTTAATCTCACCTCGCATCCGTATACTTCGTATAGGACGGCCTCGGATGCTGACCGCCATCTTTAGCAACCAGACACACATTCACAACACCGGAAACCTCGAGGAATATCGCGAGAACCGGGCTTTTGAGCAGACTGTTGTCTGCGCTTCTACATGTCCGTCTGACTGGATCATAAATAAAACTGCAAAGTAATAAATTATTTAATTCATTTTTTATACACAATGCATTAAGCAATTATGATACTAATGGAAAATTAATTAAAAAGTGCCAGCCAATGCAAATGAGCTATAAGAGGTGTGATTTGGATATAGCTACCTTTGATGTTTTTCAATAGTTTTTTCTTCTGTATAAATGACCCCTTAGGTTTAGCTGTACATTAACCTATCCAGGGACACTATTAACATTAGTGAAACACTTAGATAACAATGTTAATATAATATATAATTTTATATGCCAAAATTAATGTATTGTACTTCTAAATAAAAAATGAATAAATGAAATGTTTCACTTTTTTTTTTTTTTTGTACTTATACAGCATATAAGGTATCTGTCTAGAGGGCAAATATATATACATTTACAATATGTGTACACAGCATGATATATACAAAATGTACATATAGTTTCTTTCGTACTTTTGATGGTATCCCTATAATGCTCCACTTAGAAATCTCCTTTAAATGTATACACTTTAAACTTATCCAGGAAATCATTATTAAACTGTGTTTTCTGTAATAATGATCATGAAACCAAATTGCATTTATTTTCACATTGTACATTCAGTTTTTTATTGTGGTGTGAGATACAGAAATGTATCAATGAAAATATTCAGTTCAAGACCTCTCTCACTCTCTCAAAATATATTTTTGGCTTCATTGATTATTATGAAGAAGATGAATAATGGTTTTATGTATTGAATTTACTTATATTTTTGACCAAATCATTTCACATTGAAACTCGGCTTTATGATTTGAATGTATGCTGACTAAATTAAGCCAGAGACAACAGTAGAGACTCTTAGAATCAGAAAGCTAAATCCTTTAAAAGTCTGTGAGCTTTAGAAAGTATTTATTTGATTTTTTAAAAAACTTATTGTACCCATATTCAGATTTTTTTATTACACCTTTGCCACTTTTAATTATTCGTTTTTGTAGGCTACTTATTTTCATTTTTTTCTTACTTTCCTGTCTTGTTATAGTATGCATAATTGTATAATGTTCAATATTTGCAGCTGAACGAAAGTGCATGTGATTTCAAGGTGATTTCTCTAATCCTGGGTCTTGTACTCTTAATTATAACTGTAGTATAATATTTCTATAGGAACTGTGATTACACTGGAAAGTTCACGGGCTATATGCTTATAATAATTCTGCTTAAAGTCCGTGTTTATGCACATTAAATGCACACACAAACACTACGATCACGTACAGGCATCATGTGTGAAAAACTAAGAGATATGGAAATCAATAACATTTCAGTTATGAATATATTTCAGAATGCACAGAAACATCTAAGGGTTTATGATTTTCTTCTAAAATATCTGAGAGATACAGATTTGATTAGAATAATTTTTTTATATATATATATATATATTTTTTTTTTTTTAAATTTTTTTTTAATTAGTAGTATATAATATATATAGTAGTATATCATTCTGATATATTCGTTCATCGAGGCCTCACACTCCATCCCAGTAGGTGGCGGAAATGCACCTTAAGCTGGTTTGCCAACCGCCTTTAAACACAAAAGAAGAAGAAGAAGAAGAAGGCATCATATGTAATAGCACCTCATCTCCAGTGGGTGTCAGTGTTGTCTCCTGTTTCTCTGACTGCAACAGAGTAAGAAGAAGAAGTGTCACGTTGCGGCGAAAACAGGTAGCGCTGATCCAGCTGCAGTCTAAGCAGGTATATTTTACGAAATTATAATTTATTACACTTTAATGATGTTGGTTAGTGGATATTATGGTTATGTGTATAACCGCTAGCGTTAATATTTCTTACTAACTCTAAATGTGCTGTTGAGAAAGCGCAGAATGAGATTCTTTTTAAGTAAGAGTAATTGAGTGGTAAATAATAAGAAGTCACTTTCAACGTATCTGTTCTACTGCGAGGTAACACATGTAAATACTATTATAGGAAAGATATTCATTATTAATTTAGCTGGTTTAGATGTACAATTGTGTCATTATTAGTTTGTCTACAGAATAAGCGAGTGAAGGAAAAATGGGGCGCTCATCCAAAGACAAACGCGATATATACTACAGGCTGGCGAAGGAGGAGGGCTGGAGAGCGAGAAGTGCCTTCAAACTCCTGCAGCTGGATGAGGAGTTCAACCTTTTTAAAGGTACGAGCTTCAATCTGCATGGGATTGTGGATGAGTCATCATAGGATATGTCTCGAAAGCTTGTGAACTGCCTACATAGACAACATCAAAACAGGCTTTTATGTTCAAATGACTGTTGTTCATGTCTTACCTACATACAGGTGTTAGTCGTGCTGTGGATCTGTGTGCGGCACCTGGCAGCTGGAGTCAAGTTCTGAGCCGCAAACTCCGGTTGGTTAAATGAAAACGCACTTGATCTGTACTGCATGATAAAGTGTAAACCGCACATACAGATACTGTTCAGTAAAGTGTTTTTATTGTAATTAGCACTTAAGCTTTTTTTTGTGTCCGATTTCAGTGGAAAAGACAAGAGTGAAGAGGTCAAGATTGTGGCAGTTGACCTTCAAGCAATGGCCCCTTTGCCAGGTGTCACACAAATTCAAGGAGACATCACCAAGGTGGAGCTTGCAAGACTTTTACACTTAAACATTTTTGCTTTATTTAAGTCATTATAGCATTTTAATCTATATGTTATTATAACATGAATCTATACATTTTGAAAGCAAGACACTCCAGATGAATAGGGTAAAAACAATTTGACTAATAGATATCACCATATTTCCCCAGTTATATGATTAGATTAAGAATTGCAAACATTATTACAAGTATAAAAGTTTTTTAAATAGGCAAGTTATGCAATTAAATATGCACTAGTTTGCATACATTTCCAGAACAAAAATATGAACGTTGGATAAAGCCAGGTTCAAAAGTGTTGCGTTTTAACATATTAGAGTCAAAGATTTTTCACTGCGGGGATGTTCGATATCTCTTGTTATCACTCCAAAAATCAGAAAGTACTGTCAATAACCAGAAAATAAAAATCGCAATGCTTTTAGAAATAAGATGTTAGATTAATGTTATACGAACAAGCTCATCTGTAAAAACCTTCAGAATAAAACTGGTGTAAGTAATACTGAAGTGGAGATTTCTAGCTCTGTGCATGGGAATAAAACTAATATTGAAAAAGATCCATTAAAGATGAATTAAAATCCACAAACGCAAATAGAATAAGTGCAATAAAATAAACACTTAAAATGTGTATTTTTACTTTTCTACTAGTCTGAGACAAGACGATATTAAAAGCCAAACAGAGACCAAAATCTAAAAACTGACCAGTGCTTGATAAAAACAAGATGGAGTCTTGCCTTAAACATATTTTTATTTGTGTGACTATTGTCATTGCTTTTCATAGATTTCTACAGCGCAGGAGATTATTCGACATTTTGAAGGACAGTCAGCAGACTTGGTTGTGTGTGATGGCGCCCCTGATGGTGAGAAATAATAATAGTGTTTTATTGAACATGATGTTGCTTTCTAGTCTAGTTTAGCAAAATCTTGAATTGAAGGTTTTGTGTCCATTTCTCTATATAGTTACAGGTCTTCATGATGTAGATGAATACATTCAGGCACAGCTCCTTTTGGCGGTATGAATTCCTATTTTCCATAACTCTTATTTTGCGAACACCTTACACTAAGGTCCCATTAGTTAATGTTAGTAAATACATTAACTCACAATAAATAACATTGAGAAGTACATTTGTTACAGTAATTTATTTATTTATTTGTTTTAGTTAGTTAATGTTAGTAATGAAAATATATATTTTTTATCATTAGTTCCTGGTAGCTCAGATCTGTTAATTAATGTTGAACAATGGGGCTGTTGAATGCTAGAATCTGATTGGCTGACGAATGTTCTAAGGTGTGTAATTATTTTCAGGGAAATGCACGGCTAAAGTAGTTCCAGGCAGGTCTTGACCGCATTACATGTCCATATCACTTCGCCAAATGATTTCAGTTATTTCAAAGGTCCTTACAGCCGAAAACAGCAAAAGAACCAAAACCCACAACATTGACCAAGCAAATAAATATAGTAAACAATAAGATCAACCATTTCCATGTTTTTGCCACAAAATTATGTTTTATTATGTACGGAAAGCACATATACTCTGTGTCTCCCACTCTCTCTTGCTTCCAAACGCATACAGTACAAACACACAGAAACATACTTGTTTAATGTGTTTTTTATTATTATTATTAATGCTTTTAGTAGTTTTAATAGCATTAATAACTAAATACTAGTTTCAGTAGTTTTTGGCTACCAAAATTGGTATAGAGGACTGTGAAATATTATATTTTGTTTTTGATTTACCATATAACTGCTAGAATGCTTGTTGAAGGTTTTGCTTAAGGTTTTATGTTTTTATATTGACAGGCTCTCAATATCACCACACATGTTCTCAAACCAGGTGGCAACTTTGTTGCGAAAGTAAGCTGTCCCATTGTCATTCATACTCTTTATCACCTTGTCAAATCTATCAAATGTTTTAAAATGTGAGAAATGTTTACTTCAGTCTCACCTGAACGCCAATGCCTTTCTTCTGTGTAGATCTTCAGGGGAAAAGATGTGACGCTGCTGTACTCCCAGCTCAAGATCTTCTTCAGCTCTGTAACCTGTGCCAAACCACGCAGCAGCCGCAACTCTAGCATAGGTGAGAGGAGAATTTCATATGAAGAGGGGAATACAAACCTGTATTGGGAATATTGTACTTTTCCAAACATGAACCAGTGTGTGTTTTTGCCCTTCAGAGGCATTTGTGGTGTGTCAGAATTACTCTCCACCTGAAGGTTATGTCCCCAACATGTCCAACCCTTTACTGGATCACTCTTATGGTAACTTGTTCCATTACTCCAATATCAAAATAGTTCTTTCATATTTGATTGTGCTCATCTGTATATGCCATTTATTCTCATTTTATATTGTAAAAGTCTATGTATATGCCCAGTCTTCCTTCCTCCTCACAATATGAATGCAAATTTGTCCCATCCAGATGTCGACTTCAACCAGCTAGAGGGGCCAAACCGAATAATAGTTCCTTTCCTTGCTTGTGGAGATCTTAGTGCCTTTGATTCAGACAGAACGTACCCGCTTCAGGTGTTAATGAGCTTCTTTCAAATCACACATACATTCACTCATCATTATGAATGAGTAGTCTGATCTAATGCATGGTTTGCTTTATTCTCAAACAGCTTGATTCTAGTAAAGAATACCAGTATTTACCACCCACCCAACCTCCAATTCGGCCACCGTACCAGCAAGCCTGTCAGCTCCGCAAGAATAACTTGTTAGCCAAAGAGGACTCGCCTTCTGGCGCACTTGATGATACCCTCTCTGCTTTAGATCTCAACAAAAGTCCAGACACAAACACGGTCACACCAGGAACCTCTGATTAATGGACATTACTGATTTGTACAGCTTCTGTTAAAATAGTTTCATTGTTTTATCATGATTGATCAACATTTATTTTTAGAGATACTCTCAGAAAAAATGTGACGTGTTACGTCTTTGTACCTTATTTTAAAGTCGTCCCTATTAAGGGTACTATTAAGAGTGACACTCTTTCATACCTGTAAAGGTACAATTTCTGCACATTTTGTTGAAAGTGTTGGTTGATCATAATATGATCATAATATTTGATCTTTTATGTATTTAATTGTTTCTGTAACTTTTATTACACTCAGAATTAGCAAAGATTCTTCTCTGTGATTGGTCCTTTGTATGAATCACAGAAACTACCTAATTGAATTTGAACTTTTAAAGGCACAATATGTACGATTTTTTTATTAAAATATCCAAAAACCAATAGAACAGTGTTGTATATTTTGCTGACTTGTGTACTTACACTATCCCAAATGTTTCGAAGAATGTTTAAATCCAGAGAAATAAGTAATTTTAACTAGTTACACGGACCGAGTCCATAGTGTCATTGTGTCGCCTGCCAATGACGTCATAACCCCTCGATTTCCGGTTTTGTTTTCTAGAAAACATGGAAACACCAAAGACACTTTAATATGTTGTGCGTTTTAATAGACCGGTGACGACCGCACAGAGTAGTATTATAACAGAACTTTCAAATGTATCTAGTATGATAAAACAGCGCTGCTTTTTCCCCCACATACGCAAGGAGCGGAAGCGGTCGACTGTGGCATAATAAAAGCTCCGCTGCTTTCGAGGCGTGTGTCACTCTCGTTCAGCGGCCTCGTTTCACTTCACTTTCTACTACGTTAATAAATCATTAGCTCATCCATGAACATGATTTCTGCCCGAGTCCCGTTGGATTGCATCGGCTGTGGGGATGAAGACGACAGCTCCCATGATTCCACACTCAGTCACGGCGTCATCAATCTACGCCTTTGTCTATTTGTTTATTTTGAATACGCACCCTCTAGCGGCGAAAATTACATATTGTGCTTTTAACTGCAGCTCTACATGTTAATAAAACACACATAACCAAATTTACCATGACGCAGAATTTGTTGGTTTTATTTGTAGATGCAGTGATTCAAATTAAGTTTGAATCCGTTCTTGTATTTTTAATATCGTTTTAGCTTTAAAAGCAGCAGTTCAGATCTTTAAAACTGTGTATGAATACAGAATTAATATAGACATATTTTTAAATCTCAGAGTCAGAATGACTTTGCTCAAAGACTAAGTGCAAAGGTTAAGTGCAGTTTGAAATATGTCCTCAAGCCTCTGCAGCTCTACATGTTAATAAAACACACATAACCAAATTTACCATGACGCAGAATTTGTTGGTTTTATTTGTAGATGCAGTGATTCAAATTAAGTTTGAATCCGTTCTTGTATTTTTAATATCGTTTTGGCTTTAAAAGCAGCAGTTCAGATCTTTAAAACTGTGTATGAATACAGAATTAATATAGACATATTTTAAAATCTCAGAGTCAGAATGACTTTGCTCAAAGACTAAGTGCAAAGGTTAAGTGCAGTTTGAAATATGTCCTCAAGCCTGCAAGTGAGAAGATCTGCCATCTGTTTCCTTTCATTTGCTTGCTCAATGGTCCATGCATATTCTGGACAGTTTCATAACTGTAGTATTTTCACTGTCTAAGTATATAGCCTAACTCAACAGCATTCTATGTTTTCTCGTCTTCTGCTTGATTCCACTGATGTGGTCTTATCTAAATTATTCTTTAATGTAGTTATGAATAATTTACATAATTGGAATTGATGGTCATTGTCAGTCATGCAGAGAGAATCAGTCTTGCGGAGAACTTGCTTTCTTAGAGTTTGGCAGGAAAACAGAAACCTGTATGCAAAAATGGCAACTGTGCATCCGGTGTATTTTTTTTTAAACAATGACATTGTCATGCTAGATGTTGCATGAAGACCTGATAGTCCTAACCAGTGTTGCTGTATCAACTTGAGCACATGAAATTATGATCCAGCTGGGTATATTCTGTAAGTGCTAAATTTGAATTGTCTATGTACAGAGTTTTTGTTTGACTGATATGTGTTGGCTCACCCTTTACATTGCTTATTTTTCAGTGAGTCTTTTTACCAAATTAGCAAATGCAGGTATGTAGTTAATGTTTTGTTCATGAATTATGTATTTTTAGTAAATTGTTGGTTTTCGTACTGAAATTGTTTTTTATTAAGGATGATTCCGATTACATCATCTTTTGCTTTAACCCTCAGAAACAAATTGTGTGTTTATGGTCTCTTTATTTTTGTAAAATATATTTTTGAATTTAGAAGTTTAACTCGAACCACAATTTTATTGTTTTAGTCCTTAACATGTCAAATGGTAATCAGTAAGAAATGCTTTCATTCTTAATTGTCTTCCCTATATTTTTCCAAAAATATTAATGTGACAAGGTGTGACAGGGTTGAAGACTGTAACACATTTGGAGGGATACATTGCCTTCCATTTTAATTTTCGGTTTTGTCTGTCATATTGTCCCCTTCTTTCTGGGTCAACACATCTGCATGCCCAACATTGTCTTTCTGCTGCAAATGTGCAATTTCTGATGTATGTCAAAGTTTAAGGGGACATATTACATCAAAAATTCTATTTATAACCAAATGATGAGTTGTCATGCTTTTGGTAAGTATATATTTACTGAAACCATGACTATTGTTTTTCATTAAAATTATTAATAAATTATGTAAATAACCCTGTCACAAGTTTACAACCCCGTAACAATGAGGAATACATATTTATGACGGTGTTGAATGTGATGGGGTTGTGGTTTTTCTCTCAAAATGGCCACTGCTTCTCATGTAATGTAGGAGAGTAGAATATATATGGCAGCAATAAAATATGTACAATGTATACTTATGGATTAAAATAAAATGTTGAAAAATAATCATTTTCTATCTTAATTTTATGACGGGGTTGAGCTGTTAAGCTTGACAGTACCATCCCTGATATAATATGCCTCAAAAATATGAATAAAAAGTATGATACTACCATTTTCTGCACCACTATTAAAGAGAATAATGAATGATGTAATTTCTGGTAAATTACAGTGTCACATATGAGTGGAGTATAAATTATTATGGGCGCAGAATGGTTAGTGTGACAGGGTTGAGTTCAGACTGAGGGACATAACTTTAAAGTCAGTTTTTTAAAATAAAATATCTAGCAGTTTTTCAAGGAAATATTTTTCACAAGAAAGGAACACAAATAAATGCTTACATTATTGCCAAAAATCACAGACACTATGTTTAAGGGTATAGACAAAAGTTTCATCCATCAAGGTCAGTGCATATTATTCAGCTAAAATATTTGGTATAAACCTACGATTCTCTAAATGTTAAGTTTTGTTTTCTTACAGAACTCAAGTAATGGACAATGGTGAGTGAGTGGATATTTTTATCAGCAGAAATGCTTATAACCTCTGTATACCGGTACAAACTTGCATTGCACCTCACTGTGGGTTTTTTTAGTAAATGAACATTTCTGAGGTCATGATTGGTATGACGTTGAGGTGTGATTTTTTTTTATTTAAAGAAAACATAAAATTCATGACAAATTCTCTTTTTTAGACAACCGAGATGCAAATTCTGGTACTATTGAAGTGCAGGAAGAGAAAACAGAGGTACATATTTTATTTATTTTTTAATTACTTTTGAAATGATAATTAAAACGTGAGAATGAATTATGAATGTTTTTATGAACATGATTTTGTGAAATACTAATTTGTAATGTTTAATTTCAACATGTTTTTCACAGACCGTAGAGGATGAGCTATTATATGCCACAGTGAATCATTCAGGTGCTGGTGAAAACTCTGGTCCTGCAGTGAAGTTTGAATCAGGAACGGATTACGCCACAGTGGTCATACACTGAACAACCTGTAACACTGAATTGATTTTTTTTCCCTCAGGGATTTTAGCCACCAAGGATGAAATAAAAATTATATGTGCTATTTTGAGCAAATTTCTTATGGTTCTCATGACTTGATTTTAGATAGTAAACTCACCTGAAAGAATATGTTCATTTGATTAATACAAATCAGAAAGTGGTTGAATTAGTAGGGGAGTTGACATTAGGTTTGCTATAATGACACTCTATCCAGCAACCAGGGAAGGGCTCTATTGCTACATGTATACACTTCTTGATGACAGGTATAGTTAACTTGAAACTCTTCTATATGAAACTATCTTTACAGATTAAATCCCCACAAAATCATTCTGTAGGTTATAGAATAGGTTAGCACAGGATACTTAATTTGTTTGCTAAATAAATTTGTTTTCAGATACATCATAGTACATGCAGTATCAGGAAAAAAGTCTCTGTTTTATCAGTTTTGTGACATGTCCCCATTATGTCCTTATCGATCGATTGACTGACTGAACGTAGTATGGAATTCGTGTTGTGCTGTATAGAGTCCACTAGATGGCGACATCTGCCGTTGGCAAACCAAGATTGCTCTTCACTCACAAAATGCAAAGTATTAAAGGGGTCATATGATGCGATTTCAAGTTTTCCTTTCTCTTTGGAGTGTTACAAGCTGATTGAGCATACTTTAGTTTTTCTTTCCATGTGACTAATCACTCTGAAATAGCAGGAAAATCAACACTGATGGGTCCAATTCTGCTTTTTAAAGCACTGCAAAAAATGAGATATCTTTGATCATACTATGTATTTATGCGTTCTGTGTTGATTTATATGTTAGTGCAACCCCAAAACATCTTAAAGCATTCAAAACCAACCTGATTGCCAAATTTCCACCAAATACTGTATGTCATGTATACACCATATGATAGGTTTTTACCAATTACAGTATATGATGTAAACAAATCATAGACTGTCACTAATTACAAAGTTTTCCCCCTTTCCCAAAGGAAATCAGCAGATCATTTTGATTAGAGGAAGAAAAATCAATCAGCTGAAGGATAATGTATAGCCTAGTGTCATGACAAGCATAAATAAATATGACTGATCTGTCACATGACTCAGACATCATTCTCAGAGGCAAACGGTTGTGCCTGCATTTCACTTCAGATGGGCTCTGAATTGTAATGCACTGGCTCCTTTTTACATAACTGTTACTCCACAATCTCACATTTTGCACAGTACTGTAAAAAAAACAGCAAAAATAAATACCACACTGTATTCCACATGTTCACTAGTTACAAAATAATTTGTCATTACTGTATAAATTACAAAATACAAGAGAGGAAAGGCATGAGAGCTCTGGGAAGAATCCACAGTCTGGTGAGAGAGAGCGAGATTGTGCATGCAGTTTTTATGAGGTAAGCTGTTATGGCTCTAAACCCTTTCACTCTTAGCAATCAAATGGGAACCTGCCTTCGATTAGAACCAGAAAATGAACCCAACTGAATGCATCACACTAAAGTAAACTAGAAACCAACCACAGAAGGCTGTATGAGAGGCAAATATGCAGTAATTGATCAAACAAAAGATGTTTTTTCACTGCAAAACCAGTCTGTGTGGAAAGAAATAATAAATTTGTGTGCTGATTGTTTTCAACTACATCCTGCAGATCTGCACAAAGAAGACGACAATAATACAACAGACGTGCGGTAAACAGTTGGCAGTATCTCTGAGAAAAATGGGAGACTGTGAGTGAGAAAGAGAGACGGAGGGAGAAAAATCGAGCTGCTGCAGTATCCCTACACTGCTGAGGCTTGGACTGCGTGACTGCCTGGTGCGTTGAAAGAGAGAGAGAAGGGAGGGGGGATGGGAAGGATCTTGCTTGGATGAGGAGCAAGCAGGCAGGCAGGCAGCAGCATCATCTCTTTTGTGGCGCGCTGCTGAGGGAACTTGCCGCCTAGAGCCGTGCAGGGCGCTCACTCCTCGCAGGCGCGCACAGCGCCACCGCCTCTCCCGCACTGGCCGCCGCAGGGACAGCGACAGCCTCCGTTACAGGCGCAGAACTGCTTGCTGCAGCGGCACCATGGCGCAAGCCGCTAAGCAGCTCCGCAAGAACAAGGACCTTCAGGAGCTCGCAGCTCAAGAGCAGCGAGAGAAGGAGGAGGAGAAGATCAAGAAGAGGAACCGATCGAGAGACCGTAGACGCAAGGTAACAGACCTTTTTTCCGTATGGGGAAGGATACACACCTTCACACATATCACTGACTCATTGTGTTAACCAGTCAGCTAGAGCTGGTCGTTCACAGATTAAGTTTGAGGAAGATGCTGATGTCTGGCAGGGTAGATGAGGGGGGTTCATGACTGAGATGATTGGTTAAGTAGCCCATCGGTCCTCTGGGGAACATCCTGCTCGATCGATTTAGAAGCAAATGCTGTTTATGACTGATGCTGCATCAAAGCAAACCCGATTGCTTTATGTATTCAGATGCACCTGCCACAGGCTCCATTGTTTGTAGCGTTCCCTCCGCCTGTCATCGCCATGCTACACCACCTCATATCGATGCCGTAAGCGTGAACTTTGGCAGAACGTGAGTGTAATGTCTGCACCTGCTTCTGCCACCCATTCTCATTGCAGTTTGTATGATGGAATGGGTGCTGGAGTGCATTATGGGAGCACTGCTGCTCTGAGCCCGCTGGCTGCCTACTTACTTACTTACCTTACCTTCCACCAATGAATGTGCATGCGATGATGTATGGTCGCGTGCATGCAGATTTTGGCTTCACACGAGAGCAGAGGGAGTCTAGAAGTACACGTGACTCAGGTTACAGCTGAAGACAACAAGATCGGTAGAGGCCGGGGTGATGACTCCGCTCCCGTCTGCTCACCAAGGCTCATAAAACCTGTCAGCTTAGCATTTATCAGCGTGCTCGCGTAACTACACGATCGGGCAGAGATATGTGGCCGGCGGTGGTAGAATGTCAGTGTAGCGCTAATTAACAGAAGCCAGTTGCTGACACACACGTAGTGACACAAAAAGATACTGGAGTCTAAAGATCACTCTGAGGAGGACTGTCCTTGAGGTTTGGCTGTTTAATCTTTGGTGGGACGTCTGATGAAGCATTTGTCAAGGCTGTCAGTGACCCCTTGAGATTACACAGGGGTCTGGAAAATTGAAGTTGGCACGCGTTTGATGACACTGTTGCTTTTTTGATTTGATTAAAATAGTGTTAATGTTTAATAAGCAGTTCAACACTCACTCTCCATATGCAACCCTTGAGCTTTTTTCATATTAGTGTATTTTGACATAATTTTGTTAAGTTAAAATGCAAACCGTTTGATTCCTAAGGCCTAATGTAATGTGACCTTACAGTAGGCTACAGCTAATGCAAGATGCTTATGTTTGTATGAGCTTAATTGAAAATTGTGCAGCTTCAGGCGTAACCAGTCTGTAACCCTGGCCATGAGTTCAACCATTGGCACACAGAAGGGTAAATACTGACACGTAAACAAAAACAGAGAAAGAGAGGAATATTATATGATTAGATTTTTTTGTTTATTCCAATTAAAGTTGAAGTCAGGGTCCATAATTAATAAACAATTAGTAAAGAAATAAAGCATCACAAGATTTAAGTCAAGAATTATACTCTGGAAAAATGATGTTAAAAACGAAACATATGCATGAATGAATAATTAACAATCAGATCTGTTGCATGCATTTACAAAATAGATAGAATTTTCATTTCATGCCGACTGTGACATTTATCACCACCATTTATCATAGAAGTCAATGTGGTGCAGTGATTGCTATGATAAATTATAAAAGGCACATGTCATAAAGATTGTTGACCCTAGTGTCATCATGTTCCTGAAAACGTGTCAGTTTCGCTGAGGTCTCAGAGCGTTTTGGACGGTCTGTGGCCTTGTGAGATCTCAGCTGTTGGTGGACAAACAGTTGGATTGTGATTTTTACACATCCCTGAGGTGGATGTCCAGTGAAAAATGATGTCAAGAATGATGTCAAGTGCCTAGAGTGTGAGACACAGAGAAACGGTCTGCGTTCTGATCGAAATATTAGCTCTTACTGAATACTGCATTATATACTGCATACTATAAAAAAAAAAAAATCTGTATTCTGTAACATCACATCAACATAAACACATCACACAGTATGCTATATTGCTGTCACATTGTGCATTTAATTCAGTTAGTTGCATAGGCGTAATTTGCGGGTGGGACGGGTGGGACATGTCCCCACCACTTTTTGCCAGGGTCGATATTGACACGAATATTGATGGTTTTCTTTTTTTTTGATTCCTCAGTGTTTGCTAAACGTTCTGTAATTTATTAGTCATTATATAGCCTAATACAGCGTGTAGGCCTATGCCATGCCTCATCTTATTCGTTTTTGTTAATAACGTTTTGTAAGCTAGTGTGTCATTGAATACTGTTTTATTGTTGTTGTGCATTTTAATTAAAAATAATGAATCCATCTTTTTTTTTGTCTTAAAAGGTGAAAGGTGTATAGATGTAAGCTAAACAGACAATTATATTTGATTGTAAAACCTGACAAGATCGTGAAATCAGAAGTGAAAGCATCCGAAGCCCGGTTCCCTGGCAAAAGAGGAACTCCCATTCACAAAATTCAAATCACAAATAATACTACTGATGAAAAAGAACGGGTTGAATGTTAACTACTTTCGTTTCCATATAACTATAAACTACGATAAAAGTTCATCAGCATGCATTGATTAATAGCATGTTGTAGTGCAAAAAAAACAAAAAAAAAACAACGTGCTAGTGCATCCACCTGAGAAAGTTAATTGCAAAAGAGCGACCAGTGGGAAGAATGAGTCTAGAGTCCTGAATTGCCCAGCTCCCTCTGTCAATGATCTAGCACCCCCTCAGCACCTGCGTTCAAAATTTTCTGGCGCCGCCCCTGGTACATCGATGTATTTTTAAAAGCAAAAATTAAGTTTGTTCAACTCTAACCCAGTCCCCAAGTAAATTAGGTTATTAAATAAAAAACTAGCAAAATAGTTGCGCGGAGTCCCCACCACTTTTCAAAGCAAAGTTAAGCCACTGGTTAGTTGCATCTGCGTATTTTTATTTTGTTACATTTTAAATTAGATTTTGTGCAGAAATATCTTGTTAGAGAAAGTTCAGAAAAAATGGGAAGTTACAATGCAGAGCTTGAAAAAAGTCCACACACTCAAACATCAAAAAGTCACAAGCGAGATGAAACCAATATGAGCAATTTACTGAATAAAAACAAGGTAAACGTTTCGGTCACATGTTGACCATTTTCAATGCCAAGCTAACAATTTTTAATTATTATTATTTTTTAAATAAAAAAGATGCTGGGGTCACGATGCCGGCTCAACATCGTGATGTCTATCAGCCATTGATATGGCATCGTCTATCGGCCCAACACTAGTCTGTATACTACACATTTTAGCATGTGCAGCAGATCATCTTTACACTATTAAACACTATTAAAACTAAAGGTAAATAAAGGTTCTTTAGTTGCATCTATGCAGGGTCCAATGAAGAACCTTTAACAGTTATGGAACAATTCCATTGCAAAAACGTTCTTTATAATTCTTTAATCAGATTTTTAGAATGTTCTTCACACTAAGAAAATATTGTTCTTTTTTTTGTTCACCGAAATTTTGGAACCTTTACCAAGTGTACCATACGTGCAGTTTGTTTTCTCTACACAGTATGCATACTGCAGAAACGTTTGCACATTTTCACATCTTTTGTCAGATTTCTGCAAATCCATGTAATCCAAGTTTTTTATATCTTGACACAGATATTTCATTTCCACATTACCTCTTAGTGTGTGTTATAGTATGTGTGCTTTTCTCGGTGTATGGAATATGGTGTGAGTCTTGCTCCATTAACCTTGCCAGTTCAACATAACTCAAACACACAACTGTTGATACTACATCACACTGACACTCACAATATAGATCAGGGGTTTGTTTCCTTTTGGTGGACGCCGCGGACCATTATCTCTTAAACCGTGGATCATGCTAGACTTTGTACACACAACATTTCTACGAACACTGCAACAGTTGTAATATGACGTCATGCTCTCCGTATCTTTTAAAAAATAGAGGATGAATAAGAGAGTGGCTAATAAAAATATATGACTATCATTTAACTGTAAAACACAAGAACCGATTGCATTTCCTCAGTGGTTTTATATTAACTTCACTGCACAAAACTTCTTTACTTATTTCTTGAGGGATATTCCATGTACTTGCTGGTCCCAATTCCAGTCATAATGCGCAGAAATATCGACGTTCCTTGCACATGACAGAGCAGCATCCATTAGACTCAAAAGTGCTTTGTCTCACACATTAGTCAAGGAGCCCATAAGCTACGATTACACAACCCTGATTAAATTGACACAGGTTCTGAATATATGTGGTGGCCACTGCTCAATATAATGCTTCTCACATATGTTCCCTTATGGACATGGATGAAATAGCTTACCAATAATGTCCTTGCAGGGACAACAGAGGAGAAGAGAGCATGAGATGTGTTCCCTACACGTGCTGCTCGCGTACACGCATGCATACTCAGCATCTTTGCTTTGTAGCAGTGTTATCGACAGATGTGGGTGGGGCGGTTCTCGTCTGTCTTCTACTTGAAGACGAAACAACCCAAGCAGCTCTGTTACTCTGATCCTAATCTATTTATTATTCACAGAGTCTCCCCAGCTGTGGTGTCCTTCTTGCCCCTTATACATGTATGTTATCGCTTATTAGATCATTCTGTCACCTGAATGCTGCAAACTTGTTTTTTTTTTGGTGCAACAGATGACACTTGAGGTTTTAGAAGAATTGTGTTGATAATGCTCATGATATGGATCTTGATGTTGAAAGGTTAATGCTGAGAGTGTTTCACATTGTCTTAGCACTCCCGGGTGCCTCAGGAATAATTTTATGAGGATATAATGAATAAAAATGAATTTCAGTAAAAGCAGCACTGAATGACTTTCTTTATTAGTTTACCTGAATAATTTGCATAATTGACGTTTCTGTGCTCACATTAGGAGACAAGTTAATTTACTTACTGTTTCAGTAACTTTAAAATTTGCTTTCAGTATTTTTATGTAACAGTTGTGATACTGCTTTAACCTTTTCAAAGTGTGTAGTTTATCCACAATCATTTAGGCTTTTCTTGCATACATTATGTAG